GGAAATACTTCTCAGTACATGATTTCTGCTACTATATTATTAATAATTCATTTACCGTCCATGGTAAACAATAACTTCTCTTATTTTTTAATAAAAGCTAAAGCATGCATGCGTTTTATGTTAAATCCATTTAGTGAAATGATGGTTAGAAAGAAGACTTTATTGTGGAAAGATAAAGCATAAAGCTAAGACCATTATTCTAGCATATCTGTTATGAAATTGCCAAGTGAGAGATAATAATGATCAAAACGATTTAAGGTAAACGTATAATAAGTAACAATTTTTGTTATGTTATTATAAAATAGGTTCATATGTGGAGAGTGTTATTTTTATTACGTTTTTTTCAGTTTGTGTTTTTGAATATTTATTTTGTTTAAGCCTGTTTGCAGTGGCAACATTCTATTAGGTTCAGAAAGAGATAGCAGTTTAAGGTTAGAGAGGGTATGAAAAAAGGAAAAAGTTTTAGAAAGACATGTACGTAGTGATTGTGAAGTAAAATAAAGTATATATATTTGTATAATGTATTATAATAAAAAGTTAGTATATGTGTGTATGTATATATATATATATATGCGTGTGTGTGTGTGTGTTTTTGTATGTATATATATATTGTTTTGTATCTTGTAATATGTATATATTATTATGTGTACTGTTTACTGTATGCACTAGGTTTGTGTCCTTAATTCTTCTTTATTTTTGCGGGTCTACTGGAAGAGATTTCAACATGAAATAAGTAGTGCCCTTGTACTCTGTATCCTTATTTTCGTGTTTTTCCCAACAGCTGTGTGTACAAAATATATTAAATAAAAATAAATAAAATAAAATAAAGAATTTCGCTATATTCATCCCGCTTTTACTCATGAACGTTCCTACATATCATTCCGTCTATTTTTTCTATTCAGACAAGAACGCTTGACTGCTTTGAAGTAGATTCTATACAGGTAGAATTGTAGGTACATAATACGTCCTACCACTATCAAAATTTTAGCGGCTAATTCAAGGTTATATAGTATATGTCGGGCCCATCATGGGACTATAGTGATGGGATAGACCATAATCGATCGACGTTCGGTCGTCGAAACTTAGTCACATAAAGGTCACACAAATTTGTATAAAGTTACACAAAGTGCAGCGTATTCTGCAAACAGGGTTGCGGCATCAGGCTACGAACCCATCCCACACGTGACGAGATTGTCTGATGCTGAACTAAATCGCGGTTAAGCGTTGAAAATTCGATCACGTTGCGAATGGATTGTGTTTCGAAATCTTCTGATATAGATACTCGAATAGTCAATAACTTTTATTCGTTTACAAAATCGATTGAGGTATTTAACATATTATTATGTTAATGTTACGCTGTCTGTCTTTTCTACAAGTTTATTCAACGAAATTTCGACAAGCACTTTGTATTGTTGATTAGTGTAACTAAATTAGAGTTTTCTGGGCAAATATTTAAATATTTTTGAATAGTGTAATCGGAACATCGAGTTTCCGTTGGCTTTAACGTGTATCACATCAAACAAAGGGTACAATATCTCACCTTAACGGTAAACGATACAGTTTGAACATCAGATAGAACACATTCAGCTTAGAGGCCACAGAATCTTATAGAATTATGGTCTATTCGATAATTAAGATAAGATATGGATAATGAGAAAAGAAAATATGCAATCATGGCCAGCTCGAATTATTATTATAGTTCCTCAATTCATCCGTAATTATAATATCTTGTACTTACCTAGATTATATTAATTCGTCCCCCTAAGTCGTAAAAAGTGTAAGTTCTGTTCATCATACGAGTTGGTGCCACTAGTCTGCTGATTTTCTGCCTAATATAGTAATTATTACAACGTAATAATATTCACAGAAATGTTCACCACACTGCGTCTATGTATGGATTTTGTAACCCAATTAGGCTTTTAGCCTTTGTCTAAGTTAATAAAGAAAATCTTTTACATAATAATATGATTGAAACATACGAAGCCACACATAAGTTACTGGAATTAATAAATTGGTTTACCGTTTCTGCGGTTGATATTTCACCAGAGATCAGATTTAAAAGACCAAACATATTGTCTATAAAAAAGTATTCTTTTACATTTTCAGTTTCAACTTTTATTAACGAAGCGTCCTTAAGAGAGATCTCAAGTAAACAATGTTGTTAATGCTTCATATAATGAGGGTAAATAGTAAAAACTGAAACAGACGGGCGTCTGTAAAGGAAGCGGCGTATTTATTAACGCTGCGACACAGCCGGGTAAACAGGGAATCTACTTTATATTAAACCGAGCGGTCCATCAGATGCGCTATTAGCCTGCCTCGACATACAGATCTCATTAAAACTTATATCGTAGACAGGGCAGTGATTGCTCTATTTAGTTTATCAAATAAATTAAATAAGATTTATGTTTTATTTTTGTCTTAATTAGGTTGATTTTGCGTTTTGTAATACTTGAAAATTGCATTAATGTGAAAAGTGATTGGGATATGTATAAGTTTTGCTAAAACACCTAATGCATTCGTATAAAGCGTTGATATTTGTTATAATGGCACGAAGCAAATTTCAAGAAAGACGATCAAATTTTATACCTTTATTGGAGTACTTCTGTAGTACCAGAGCAGATATCATCCCTAGTACTTGGAACGACTGAATGTATACACAGTATGTTTCCAAAAAATATTTTACCACGTACCATCCGACTCCGGAACGAACTCTCCTCTATAGCATTTCCTGAGAGCTATAATGCATTTTTTCAAACGAGTTTTAAGGGAAGCACTCTACTACAAGCAGCGGCTTGGCCATTTCCCTGGCTTTGCTAATGGCTGCTTATGCTTAGATGGGCTCTATATTCATCTGCCTTCTAAGAAAAGAAAAAAGACATGCACCCACCTTTTTCAAAAAATTAAAATAGGTCCTTAGCGCGTATTGACTTGAAATAAAATGTAATTAAATGAAACCTGCATTGCATTGTGATGATTTTATGAACTTTTTAATGGAAAATGTACTAATTTAAATTTCCAAGTTTCATTGATTTCATCCATTGAAATCTGTGCAAACTTCTTAAGATTCCAAGGCGTCAGTGATAAAATAGGTGAAAAGTCGTTAATAATATGCTCAGTGACACGGACAAATAATAAATTCGTACGAAAAAGAAACGTAACAAGCTAACTTTGAACAAAATTTGTAATATTCATAAGCTGTGAACACAGCAGAAAGTATTCCTGTCCAAAAGTTTGTTCGAACATATTTTTTTATTAAATTTCTGTTGTCTAAATTGTTTCTATGTCTATGGAATGTCGGCGAATCTCTAATGAAACCGCCTCTGTTTATTCTGCCGATACGAAATGAGAAATGAGTGCAGTAAACCTTAACAATTGCTCGTACCGCACTCAGCGTCTCATGTTTCATGTAATTAAAATTATTAATTAATTTCTGATTAAATAATTAACGAATGTCCAGGAATCACGAGAAGATAATGTATTCCATAAAATATGTTTTTCGCTTCCTGAATAGTTAATTAAGTAAATTTAAAGCAGATACAAATATTCTCGAAAATACGAAACTCACACAATTCAATTGTCTATAAATAAGTTGATTTAAGTATAGAACTGAACTTTTGCACTGAAAATGCCCCGTAATATTATCAATAATAAATAATAGTTTAAAAAAACTAACAAAATACGCTTTTCTAGAAAACCAACTAAAAAATAGTTTATTTTTAAAATAAATTTGATGTTGAATTATTGAATTTGATAAATTTGAATGTTTGGATTTCTATAAAAGCGCATTTTGTTTGATTTTTTAAGTTATTATTTATTTTTTAGTCAAATTGTAATTTTTTCAATTTTTTTTAATTTTTTTTTTAAGTTTTGAATTCCATATGTTCTTAATATGTATACCAGATTTCGAGTTAATCCGACGTTTTGAAGGGAGTCAAAATCATGTTCAAAGATTCCGTTATAAACATACATACGTCTGAAGCTAATAAAAGTGTATTAAAAATAATAGCTACTGTAGCGCAGATGGGAGATAGTGGCATAAGGCAATAGAGCATATTAAGCTTCTAGTAAATAGTATAAAGATTGAGTACAAAGTTTGAGGCGGGCACGCAGAGCGAGCGGCGTCGCGGCACAATCCTATGGATTAGTACCGTAACACGCACGCCGTTTGCTCCTGCCAACTTCCTATTTATGTCGGTTCGCTTAACAAACGACTTGTAGGCTCTTTATTACAGTTGTTCTTTTCAGCTCACGAGCTTGTTACCGGCGATCGGTTCATTGTATTTGTTATCGGCAATGCCGTGAACAAATAGCGTTTGCTTGTGATACATTTTGTTAGACGTGGCATGAAAATTGTTTTTATAATACGAAACAGGAAATATGAGAATAAAGGTTATAAAGTTTATGGAAAATTTTGCAATTCAGAATATAGTACTTGAGGAAAATTATATTTAAGTTTTATAACGGAAAATTGTGTTGTAGTGAATCATAGAATTTTGATGTCGTCGTGGCCTAACGGATAAGACCGATGTATTCGTGTTGAGCGATGCACCTGTGTTCGAATCTCAGGCGGGTACCAATTTTTCTAATGAAATACGTACTCAACAAATGCTCACGATTGACTTCCACGGTGAAGGAATAACATCGTGTAATAAAAATCAAAGCCGCAAAATTATAATTTGCGTAATTACTGGTGGTAGGACCTCTTGTGAGTCCGCGCGGGTGGGAACCACCGCCCTGCCTATTTCTGCCATGAAGCAGTAATGCGTTTCGGTTTGAAGGGTGGAGCAGCCGATATAACTATACTGAGACCTTAGAACTTATATATCAAAGTGGGTGGCGCATTTACGTTGTAGATGTCTATGGGCTCGAGTAACATCAGGTGGGCTGTAAGCTCGACCACCCATCTAAGAAAAAAATTAATTAGAAAATATTTAAAAATCTATGTATGTTACAACAAAATTGTGATCTGTTTGTTACAGATGTGCTAACATAATGGCATGAGCACAAGAATGGAGCGGCCAGGGCGACGCACGAAGACTGGCTCTCTGAGCGGATTATCGGGCGGAGTGCCAAGCTCGTGCGGCGTGCGGCGCCAGCGGTCGCTCGAGTGGGGCGGTGACCGCTACAGCAGTAGTGACGAGGACCGCCCGCCGCAGCCGCCGCCGCTCGCAGACAGAGTCTTCGCTTCGCTTTTAGCACAGGCCACGCAACAGTTTGACGGTAAATAGTCCATATAGAAACATCATTACAATAAAAATCTTTAGGTCTTTTTACACGTCTATCTCTGCCAGCAGAGTCTATCGAGAAACTTGTTGGTCAGGGTAGGGTCTACGGTAAGAGATCTCGTGGACGAATACCCATGCGCTGGACTGATCAGGTGAAAGACCTTACTGAAACCCCACTTAACGAGTGTGTGCGCCGGGCCTCGGTTCGAAAACTATGGAAAACATCTGTCAAGGCTTTAATTAGCAAGAATTCCACATGACCACGACTGCTCTGCCAAGAGCAACCGATTATGATAATGATGATGACGATGATCTCGGCATTAGGTTTAACCAAATCTAGTACCATTTTCAATCGTGTATTAACTATAAATCTTGAATCACCGTTTGGTCGTATTGTTCAAATGCTTTAGTTTTAAAAGCGCTTATAAAGTCGTACGTTTACAAAACATATTTAATTTTATAAGCACGTGACTATTGAAAACAATTAGCATACTGTAGTTATAGAAAGAAAAGTTCAATATGAAAACGTAAGTATTAACAGAAATAAACCTTCGCTTTTAAAACGATTTGTCGTAGATGTAGCTACGCTCTACGGCGTAGCGGTATTGGCGACAAAGTTATTTGCCGAGTGACATGGTCGAAGGTCCACATTGTGTCTTAACAAGTGGCATCATTAGTGGCACTCTGAGGAGGGGTATGTAAGGGGAGGGGGGACCAATTGATGGGGGAGCACCCTGCGGTGAGGCAAACTTTACACGCAATCCCTACGTAGCTTTGGCCGTCTGTGCCTTGATGAACTCATAGAGAATGCATAATTTCACGGGATTCAGGATTGCTTTTCGTTAACCCCATAAATATGCATTAGGAAAATATTTTATTAAACATTCACTTTCACTATAAATTTGGGAAAATTTTACATGAAGATTTGTAGTAATAAATGAAATTTGTTTTCCAAAATATACGTTAATGTGTCTCGATAAGGATAAATTAAAAATGTGCCAAAATTTATCTGAAAAATCACATGTCACATTTTATTTTGCGTAAAAATAAATTTGTTCAAACAACAAATCCATACATGCATACACAGTCGTAGGCTGTGTGATTAAGCAAACAAATGATTTTCATTAAATGCATTCCACTTACATTCGAGTAGAGTTTTGTATTTTCTCGGCATGCACAAAGTATATCTAGGCATTCAACGAGGCAATATTATCATAAAGGCTCGTGTTATTGCGCCACAGATATTGCTCGCTTAGTTTTCTTTGCCTCACTCCATATTATAACAACAATAGCGTTATCTTTCGTCCTGTGAACCGTTTCTAAGTAGCTCTATTAGACGCATCCGTTTTATCCTCCGACCACGGCCCCTTGTTCAGTTCATCCTTTTATTTCTGTCTCTTACGTAGGCTTTTGTTTGTTTTGTTGAGGGATCTTTTTCATTCACTTTCAAACGTTTATTAATTTTTCTAAAAGGATATTGGAAATGTTAGTAGACAGTCTGATTGGAGAAGTGGCATCTTATCTTAATGCCTTTATTTGTGTAGACATACGAAAGAAGAACACTCAAATCCTGTAGATAATATTTCTGTAACAAAGACATTAACTCGAACAAGGGTCTTTAATCACTATATTCATGTAATATCTTTTTAGTACGAATATTACGAGAGAGACGAGTATGAGAGAGATAGAATTTTGAATATATTTCACTTTCCAAAATAATGGAATGTATTCTAAAGCCGAAACTCCATAGTCAAGTTATTGCTTGAGAAATTATTTCTCAAGTCAACTTTGGGTGAAATACCTTGCACCGTTATCGTGTTTTTAGTTTCCTCTAATGATATCTTAGTTATTTATTAACGTTAAAATCGTATAAAATCGGGACATGCCATGAACTGTGAATGATAAAGTAAAATATACCTATAATTATCGTTAAAATCAGCTTAAGTGCCCTTCTCTTTATGTTTATGTTTCATGTTGAATGCTATTGATAACAGCTACATTGTTGAGTATTTTTAGCATCAATCCATTGGAATTTTCAATACACAGAAGCGATTCGTATATTTTTGATGTTTTCATAAAACCACTTGTTTTTGTCAATTGTGAATTCTAGGCTATTTTAATGGGCGGTTTGCGGTATGTTTTTAATTGATTATTTCGTTTTGTAAGTATGACAGATTTATCATTTAATTAAGTGGACATAAGTCACTTTCAACGGGTCATGATGAAGCTATTAGAAATTATGAAGAAATTATGCTCTTAATTCTAAATAAAAGAGCGGATGTGTTCTTAGATCGTGAGTGGATTTAGATCCCCCATTTTGGACGCTTGTGAACATCAAGGACCCAAGCTGCCTCACGTAAATTACCGAAGATAACAGAGGGAAGGTAATTTTAAAGTTTGTTAGTACACAGAAGAAATTTTATCTGAAAATGCACTCCAAGGACATCCATCCAATAGGTGTAAAAAGGTACAATATGTCCCATTTCGACATCCTCCTAGAAGAACACGTGGATTAGTATTTTCGGTGAAGTTATAACACTGTGATATTAATAGTTATGTACATACGCGCCCATAGACATCTACAACGTAAATTCCACTGCCCAGCTTGAGACATGAGTTCTATGTCTCAGCTTTTACAGTATAACGGCTGCCCCGCCCTTCAGACCGAAACGCATTACATATTATAATTTTGTGGGTTTGATTTTTACTACACGATGTTATTCCTTCACCGTGGAAATCAATCGTTAACATTTGTTATGTACGTATTTCATTACAAAAATTGGTACTTGCAGCGGGATTCGAACACCGTTGCATCGCTGGATACGAATGCACCGGACGTCTGATCCTTTAGGCCACAACGACTTCGTAATAAGCACTAAGACTATAGACACTCTGAACACTATACATAATAAAAACACAGTCAAAGAACAAACAAACCTGTTCATCACTCAATGTTTACCCGATATGAAACTCGAACACACGACCCTACTAACTACTGCACCGCCGAGTCAGTTTTTCTTGGTTAAAACAGATTTAAAAGATGTCCATGAACGTTTATATGGAAGGATGCCATATTTCTAGCACGAAGCGTTTGTATGTTCTTATTTGAAGGGCAGGATAATGACTGTTGCAATATTCGGAATTTTAACTTTCTCAAGGAGACTATGAGCATCGCTAACCACTTAACAACAAACAAGTGAGCTCGTGGGTCGAAATACAATGAAAAGTTGTTATATGTAAATCACACTCAATTACCGACGGGAACCTACTTTTTAGGTACATTGTATACACAGTGTATCCATAAATACGGTTACAATAAAAAATACCAATAACATTACATTACCTTTCAATTTAGAATATGTCATTATCATATGAAAATTTATTGTTTTATCAATTTAGTACCGGTCTTTGTTAATATTATTGTGATACTAAAATGATGTGGGTGGTAAAGTGAACCGAATTACCATGATAGCATTACACAAAGTAGGCATGAAGCCAAGTGCAATTTATGAAACTCCGCTTGCTATTAGACGTATGTACGTTTCTGTATCAGGCCATTGATATAAGACATACATTAAATACACTGTTTCAGACAGAATCAATGACAGAAAAAAACTTCTTACTCTTAATATAGTATTCGTAGTAAAATGCGATCATGCTTTCCTTCCCACTTCGATAAAGCGGCACGACATGAGAACCCTCTCATCGTGGCCGCCGGTAGCTACATTCCCGATCCTGCGGACAGAATGGAAAGCAGTCGACGTCGCCCCAAACACGTCATTTCGGATCCTCCCGATCCACTAACGGTGCTTTTAGGTACCTCAAGCACTGGGTATTGTTCTCGTCGAACCCGTCGCTTGCGACGAAGGGCTCGACGAGTAAATTAACCCTCAGACACAGCCCACTGAGTTTCTCGCCGGATCTTCTCAGTGGGTCGCGTTTCCTATCCGGTGGTAGATTCTGCGAAGCACGGCTCTTGCTAGGATTCGTGTTAGCAACGTCGCCAGGTTTGAGCCCCGTGAGCTCACCTACTAGCTAAGGCTACGCTGATATAGCCTCTCTAGGCTCTCAGCTTACGTAGGAAAAAAAAAAGCTTTCCTTCAAAGAAAGAATCCAAAGAAATCTTTTTAAAAGGAAATGTTTTATCTAGTGAAATAAACGCTGTATTTAGAAACAATTCGCATATTTTAAGAGATGACTTAAAAGTCACAGCTTAAATCCTGTTATTATTATATTTTGTCGCGCGCTAAGACATAGTAAAAGAAAGAATATAGTTTTAAAATCAAAACAACCACACAAGTTCTTAGACAGTGAGCAAAAGAAAGGCACCGAAAAACATATTTTGTTGGGGTGTTAGCTATATAATAAAATAAATCAAATTAAATCGTAGATGGAGTTCTCTTACTTCTACAAGAGCGTTGCATTGAAACTAATGAACCCAACAAACAGGAGTAGATAAGTACGAGGGAATCTATGGCGAAGCCAGCAACTTTCATTTATTTTGTATTTTTCTTTCCACAAACGATATTGCTGGTATTATTAGAGGCAAGCCCAGTAAGTAAGCAATATCTCCGGTCGCGTTCCATAAGAATCTTCATAGGATACGGCCCGTTATTGCATGGAAATTCTTAGGCGTGCAACTTCATTGAGTGACTCTTTTGTATAAAGGTTCCGCCCCGTGTTCCTCGGTTATTGTTTTCAAAAGCGAAGGGAGGCACCTGATATTGCCTTCCCTGAATTATAAGCAGGTTTATTCAATTAAGCGAAGTACGCCGACGTCTGTGTTGTAAGCGCGCATGAAAAAAACCTTNATACGGCCCGTTATTGCATGGAAATTCTTAGGCGTGCAACTTCATTGAGTGACTCTTTTGTATAAAGGTTCCGCCCCGTGTTCCTCGGTTATTGTTTTCAAAAGCGAAGGGAGGCACCTGATATTGCCTTCCCTGAATTATAAGCAGGTTTATTCAATTAAGCGAAGTACGCCGACGTCTGTGT